CTGTGTATGTGAAGTTTTGTTCTAAGATAAGGATGTTCTGCAGGCTGAGAAGTCAGCAGCTATGTGTATGTGAAGTTTTGTTGGTAAATAAGGATGTTCTGCAGACAGAGAAGTCAGCAGCTATGTGTATGTGAAGTTTTGTTGGTAAATAAGGATGTTCTGCAAACAGGGAAGACTGTGTATGTGAAGTTTTGTTCTAAGATAAGGATGTTCTGCAGGCTGAGAAGTCAGCAGCTATGTGTATGTGAAGTTTTGTTGGTAAATAAGGATGTTCTGCAAACAGGGAAGACTGTGTATGTGAAGTTTTGTTCTAAGATAAGGATGTTCTGCAGGCTGAGAAGTCAGCAGCTATGTGTATGTGATGTTTTGTTGGTAAATAAGGATGTTCTGCAGACAGAGAAGTCAGCAGCTATTTGTATGTGAAGTTGTGTTGGTAAATAAGGATGTTCTGCAGACAAGTCAGCAGGTATGTGTATATGAAGTTTTGTTGGTAGAAAAGGATGTTCTGCAGGCTGAGAAGTCAGCAGCTCTTTGTATGTGAGGTTTTGTTGGTACATAAGGATGTGTGTTGTAGTGTGTTAGGTAATGCAGGCTCCAGCCTTAGTGTATTGTGGCGCATGAATGTGGGGGTATCGTATTTATTTAATAGGTGGTTGTGGGGGGCATCAAGTGTGGCAACATTGATTAAAAAGGGTCTGTGGTGCAGTGAACTGTCCATTGTAACATGTTGGAAGTTTCTAATAACTTATTGTATCACATTGGCAGTCTCTAATAATCTCTTATCTTGGGAGTATTCTATTAAAGGCAAATTTTGGCAGGGCAGGTAAGATAAAGGCCCACTTTACACCTGTCTAGTGCATTACAACACGTTATTCCATGCATATTGTGCATTATTATGTGTATGTGTTGGCTAAAAGTAGAACTTCAGGTTTCTTACTCCCTCAAAAGCCAGCACTGAGCCCCTCCTTATATTTTGTAAAAAAAAAAACCCAATGTACACCTTCCTAATTTTGTTGCCAGTTCATTGATGTCACTGGCACTTTCTCTTTTTCCTCTGGTGACAGCGGTGGGGGGGTATTTGGCCAGAACTGAGCAGCACTCAAGTAATGACGCATGAGTGCTGCTCAGTCCTAAGTACTGTAAGCCTGCATGAAGATGCACACCACTAGGAAGGTGCGCAGGACAGAAAAAAAGCCAACATTTTATTACTGAAGTTCTTCTTCAAGGCAGTCCATTCGTTTTTAATTGGCTGCCAAAGCATTACAATGCCAAAGAATCAGACAGGCATTTTTGTAGTGTACCCATCTATGCCCATCTGTGCATTGTGTTATGCTGAAATACACGTTATTTGTTGTATTTTAAATTAAGTATTATGCATTTTACGTTTCCATATACTTTATTGCCACTTGCAAAATCGATCAAAGAAATGCTAATGCTCTGCAGGGAACAGAGTATAAGGATGTTGATCTGCTGATCTTCTACAACAGCTAATCTTTCTGCTAATCTGTTGGGTTAATTAGTTTACAGCTGCCTCTCTTACTTCCCTGTCATTCTGAGGCCCGGTGCAGACCTGAGCGATCTGGAATCGCGCATGCCGGGAATCGTGCGGTCCTGCACAATTGCAGATAGTGATTGCCGCGTGGCCCCTTTAACTTCAATGGGGTTACATCAGCGTGGCAATCGCAGAAAAAAGGTACATGTACCCTTTATTCCGATACATGGCACGCGGCTGTTTTACTTCAGATGCCCTGGCGGAAAGCGTGATCCGCCCCGCGCGACTGGGTTGCCATTAGAAAATAATGGCACCCACAGCGCGATCGTCTGTGATGGGCTACTCTGTCACTGCGCAGCAATCGGTGCAGTATCGTGCACCATTGCCGCGCGATCCAGATCTCCTAGGTGTGCACCGGCCCTAACAACTGAAGTCAAGGTTTCCAAATATTTTTCTTTTCTCAAAGCTGGCCATACACCTTGCAATATAATTTTGCGATCTCCTTTAGCTCGACCAATGATTATGTAGTATGAGGGTGAGCTCACAAGGAGGGTAAACACAACGATGTAAAGTATTTTAATTAAGGGGGGTTCAGGACACAACAGTGACATCTACCAGCATAGTACACACAAGTTAATATGTTAACATTAACCTGCTCTTCCCCCTTTGGATTTCAGAGCAAAACTTAGTACAGAGAACAAGTTAGAATTGAGCATGTACTGTGCAAGCAGCAATTGAAGAAGAACTCCAGGAAAGTCACAAACTTAACCCTTGCAATGGGGCTACCCCCGGACTGCAACGGTTAAGTGCTCCTTTTGGCCTAGGGGCTGGAATAAAGCAGAATTGCTTACCTGATCCTGGATCCCTCTGGGCCATTAGCCTCTTCTCCCCATCTCTCCAGCAGTCTAAGGATGTAATCACGTCTTATGTAGATCTATTGAATTGCATTAAACGTAAGGATGCCGAGGGACGGAGCGGAGGGGGAGAGAGGTGAGTGCCGACCACTGCGGGATCGAGGATCAGGTGAGTAAAACTACTTTATTTGAGCCCCCTAGACAAAATGATAACTTAAAGCAGAAATAAACTCTCAAATGAATCCAGACCATACAAATATACATTGTACAGGAAAGTATTTTTTTACAGAAACTCTGGGCAAAAATGTTATTAAATTTGGGGTACCCCTGCACTGCATGGGTTAAGTGCTCATTTTTGTCTAGGTGAAGAAATTACAAAGTTACACTTACCTGGTCCTTTGAGTTCTACACACTGTATTGGACATGAGGACACCGAGGGATCTGCCATATCTGGAGCGGAGGAGGAGACAGGCTGAAGGGAGCACTGCGCCAGCCAGCCGGCTGCGAGGTTGGGTGAGTATAACTTTGTTATTTTCACACCTAGATGAAAATGAACACTTAACCCTTGGGTAGCCTTCTTCTAAGAACTTACAGTCATCATATTTCAGAACATCTGACTCCAGTTCTCTCAGCTCTGCTTCCCTGAACTTCCTGTCTAGTACAAAATCACAAGAGGCAGAGCAGTCTCCAGCAACTGTTCATCTACTACCTTGCAGTAGGGTGGAAGGGGGGAGTGGGAAGCAGGGAGCTGGGAGTGGATTGCTTTGCTGTGTCTGTTTGTGGAGACACATACAGCGGTGACTGCATAGCACTCTGCTTGAGAAAGGAGTCACTCTAGAACAGGAAGTCAGGACCAGTGCTCAGGGGACCAGCTGATTCTCCAGGAAACTAATACTTTTAAACATCAAGAAACAGCATCTGTTGTAAGCCATTTCATCAGTATTTGAATGAGCTTATAAACCTTTTGAATGTAATATCACTTTATCTCTTGCAGTGTGGAAGTAGCCTCACTGCAAGAGTAAGTTTGTGCTTATCCCGGTGTTCTTCTTAAAAAAACAATAAGTTATATTATGTGAATGAGAAAAATGTAACAAATACAAATATAGTTTTGTTGGTACATAAGGATGTTCTGCAGACAGGGAAGTCAGCAGCTCGGTGTATGTGAAGTTTTGTTGGTAAATAAGGATGTTCTGCAGACAGAGAAGTCAGCAGCTATGTGTATGTGAAGTTTTGTTGGTAGATAAGGATGTTCTGCAGACAGAGAAGTCAGCAGCTCGGTGTATGTGAAATTTTGTTGGTAAATAAGGATGTTCTGCAGAGAGAGAAATCAGTAGCTATGTTTATGTGAGGTTTTGTTGGTAAATAAGGATGTTCTGCAGACAGAGAAGTCAGCAGCTCGGTGTATGTGAAGTGTTGTTGGTAAATAAGGATGTTCTGCAGACAGAGAAGTCAGCAGCTATGTGTATGTGAAGTTTTGTTGGTAAATAAGGATGTTCTGCAGACAGAGAAGTCAGCAGCTATGTGTATGTGAAGTTTTGTTGGTAAATAAGGATGTTCTGCAAACAGGGAAGACTGTGTATGTGAAGTTTTGTTCTAAGATAAGGATGTTCTGCAGGCTGAGAAGTCAGCAGCTATGTGTATGTGAAGTTTTGTTGGTAAATAAGGATGTTCTGCAGACAGAGAAGTCAGCAGCTATGTGTATGTGAAGTTTTGTTGGTAAATAAGGATGTTCTGCAAACAGGGAAGACTGTGTATGTGAAGTTTTGTTCTAAGATAAGGATGTTCTGCAGGCTGAGAAGTCAGCAGCTATGTGTATGTGAAGTTTTGTTGGTAAATAAGGATGTTCTGCAAACAGGGAAGACTGTGTATGTGAAGTTTTGTTCTAAGATAAGGATGTTCTGCAGGCTGAGAAGTCAGCAGCTATGTGTATGTGATGTTTTGTTGGTAAATAAGGATGTTCTGCAGACAGAGAAGTCAGCAGCTATTTGTATGTGAAGTTGTGTTGGTAAATAAGGATGTTCTGCAGACAAGTCAGCAGGTATGTGTATATGAAGTTTTGTTGGTAGAAAAGGATGTTCTGCAGGCTGAGAAGTCAGCAGCTCTTTGTATGTGAGGTTTTGTTGGTACATAAGGATGTTCTGCAGACAGAGAAGTCAGCAGCTATGTGTATGTGAAGTTGTGTTGGTACATAAGGATGTTCTGCAGACAGAATAGTCAGCAGCTATGTGTATGTGAAGTTTTGTTGGTAAATAGGGATGTTCTGCAGACAGAGAAGTCAGCAGCTATGTGTATGTGAAGTTTTGTTGGTAAATAGGGATGTTCTGCAGACAGGGAAGTCAGCAGCTATTTGTATGTGAAGTTTTGTTGGTAAATTAGGATGTTCTGCAGACAGAGAAGGGGATTGTTTATAGCAGAGCAGCCAGCCAGTTGCTGACTGATGACAGGGAAGCAGGAAGCAGCCCGGCAGCAGCAGTGAGCAGAATCTGTCCATCGCAGGCACTGCTGCCTCCCTGGCTACCATAGAGTGTGTGCAGCTCTTCGTGCGTATATGCCTGTGTCTTCCTCATCATCTGGAGCTGCACAACCCCTCATCTCCATCCTCTCTGCACACACTACCACCAGCCAGTGACAATGACTAGAGGTGCAGGCTAAACTTCCATGCAAATCAAGGCAAAGCCAGTGCAATAGGTAGGTCGTGATTTCCTCGCTCCCTGTTGTTGTATTGCTCATCTCCCTTCTCTCACCCCCCCCCCCCCTCCCTTTTGCTATGTCCCCCATCCTCTGCTGCTGCTGGGTATCTGCTGCAAGTGTTTGCTGTTGCTGCTTTCTGGCTTGGGGTGTATTGGGGAGCCGGGGCGCCGTCCAAGCAGCCTAGCAGGCCATTTGTGTGTCTTTGTAATGCTTTACGTCTACATGATATGCAGCTCAGCTGGGAGTATCTCTGCCCATTTCGTAGAAAGCTCATCCACAACATGCACATTGACCCACTTCAGTATATATCTATCTATGGTTCTATCTAAAGCCCATTTGTACGTTCTGTGTGGCGCACATCTTTCCATTTCTTTTGGTTCAGATAATATGTGTGAGCAGAGCTTAGAGAGATGAAGGATGCAGCGCTCTGGTCCCCTCCCCCAAATGAGAGGGGGTTGTCATGGTGATGAGGCTGCCAGCTGCAGCATCCTACTTATCAATGGAGAGGAAGAGGAGGAGGAGGTGGAGGAGAGTCCAAGGTTCACATGTACACAGCACACAACACACCAGCTACTCAGGTATACAGATTGGGGGGAATTTATTAAAACTGGTGCAGACTAAATCTGGTGCACTTGCCTATGGCAACCAATCAGCTTCTTTCAGTTTGTTCAGTTAATATTTAAAAATGAAAGAGAGAAGCTGATTGGTTGCGGTGCACAGCTGCTCCAGATTTTGTCTGCTCCCTTTTGATCAATCCCCTTCACTGTATTTAGTACAGGGAGGAGGTTAATTGCAGTAAAATGCACCATAATAGTGAATCAACAAGAGGACCTAAAGTGTATCTAAACCCCAAACCAGAAATTCTATACATTGCAGCTTAGAAGTCCTTATACTGTATGTGGTGGCAGCATTCGTTTTCCTTTTTCATGTTATTTCCCTTTATTTTCACATTGTGATCCTGTCCAATACTTCCTGTCCTAGGGTGACAGCGCTCACTCACTATGGTGTACTTATAGAGGAGCAGCTAAGCTGTTCTCCTTATTTTTTCTACAAACACCTCCCCATCTCCTCATTTCCATTAATAGAAAAGAGGTGTGCTTTAGTTCACAGAAAATAGCTGTGAATTTACTACGACTGGAGCAGACAAAATCTGGATCGGCCGTGTATGGCAAACAATCCGCTCCTACCTTCCATTTTCAAAGCTTAAAGTAGAACTCCAGGATTTTTTTAATTACTTTTTTAATTAACCCTCGCAGGTAAAAAATATAAGTTATACTGAAGCTCTGAGCTGGCTTCTTCTTAGACCGGTCCTTCCAATGTCTCTCTGTAGTGGTCTATGGTCCTGTAAATCATCACTTCTATGCACAGAGGGGAATTTATTAAAAACAGAGCACACAAAATCTGGAGCAGCTGTGCATGGCAACCAATCAGCATCCACCTTTCATTTTCAAAGCTTAAAGAGTTTCTAAACCCCTTTGTTTTTTTGCCTATATCTACTGTTAGCAAGCAGTAGATATAGGCAAAAAGTAAAAAAGAAAAAAAAATGAACAGTGGTTTAAACTTACCCCGTTTTCGCTGCGCGCTCCCGCCGAGAATCCGAAACTGCTCGGGCGGCCGCAAAGCATCCTGGGGCGAGCCCATATTTTCGGCCGGGAGACGAGCAGAGACGCAAGGTAAGTCTATAGTGCGCGTGCACCCACATGCAGACACCGCTGGATCGGAAGTGCCACCAAGGACAGAGGAGTCAGCGCTGGATCGGAGAGCCGCCGCAACGCTGGAGGGACAGATGAAAACATCAGGAAAGAAGAGGAAGATCGGATTAGGAGACATCATTTAAGGTAAGTGCTGACATTAACATGGGGGGAGGGAAAAAGATTTTTGACTTTAATGTCACTTTAACTGAACAATCTGAAGAGAGAAGCTCACAGGTTTCTATAGGCTACTGCCCCCGATTCTGTCGTTCTCTCTCTCTCTCTCTCTCACACACACTCTTTCTCTCTTTCTTTCACGCTCTCTCTCTCTCTCCCCCCCTCTCTCTCTTTCTCTCTCTCTCCCTCTCTCCCCAACCAATTAACCAATAATGAGAATAGGTGCAAACTATTCTCATAATTGATTATTACAGATTTCATCGATTAGTTGTTGCAGTCCTACACTGTGTATAGATGTGAGGTCGCAGGGGAATATTCCAATGCTGCTGTGGAGGAGGAGGCAGGCTGGAGGTAGCGCTGTGACAGCTAGCCGGCTCAGAGGTTCGGGTGAGTATAACGTTTGTGTCTAGGGACAAAAATAGCACTTAACCCTTGCAGTGCGGGAGTAGCCCCAAAGCAAGGGTTAATTTAAAAAAATTCCTGGAGTTCTGCTTTAACCGAACAAGCTGAAGATAGAAGCTGACTGGTTACTATGGGCAACTTCTCCAGATTCTGTCTGCTCAAGTTTTAGTAAATGCCCCCCTTTGTTTGGGATTTCAGTTTAGTGCACGGGAAGTTACAAGAACCCAGGCTTTGTATGAAGATCAACAGGAATTGTTCTGTACTTGTAGAGAATGTTCTTAGCGTTAAAGAGGAAAGGAAAGCAGCCACCACATCTAAGGACTGGTAAACTGCATCGGAGGACATTTATCAAAACTGGAGCCGACAGAATCTGGGGCAGTAGTCTATAGTAACCAATCAGCTTCTCCCCTCAGTTTGTTCAGATAAAGTGACATTAAACCCTCAGATTTTTTAACATAAACCAATAGTGTAATGTGTGCCTTACTGTAATCCATGGTTGTTTCCCTTCTCTTTGCTGCTCTTCCTTTTAAATCTCTATCTCTTCTCATGCTTGGCAGAACTTCTGTTTTGCAGCAGACTGCCTTGTCTCTGGAATGGATACATGGTGTCTGTGTATAGGTTTGCAAACTAAGCCAGCACTACAGGAAGAGCCACTCAGCTGCAAAGGGAAGTTCTCCCCCCAGCATGAGAAGACATGAGGATTTAAAAGGAAGAGCAGCAAAGAGAAGGGAAACTACCATGGATTACAGTAAGGCACACATTACAGTATTGTTTATGTTAAAAAATCTGAGGGTTTAATGTCACTTTAAGCTTTGAAAATGAAATAGAGAAACTGATTGGTTGTCATGGATAACTGTTCCAGATTCTGCCTGCTCCAGTTTTGATAAATTACCCTCTGTATGTTTTAGGGTCTAGATAGCTCTTAAAAATACCAATCTCTGCTGTATAAGTAACAATAAAGTGGAAACCTTTTCACATGAAAGTATCCGTTTGTATCAAGAAACTGTGACAAAATAAGAGCTGTGAAGTGCACGCTATTTGTATCCTCAATCACTAAAATCTCATAGTAGCTTTATCAGGTTAAAGGCGTAGTCCGCCTTTTACAAAAATGAAGAAATGAGCACACATCAATAAAAGAGAGCAATGCGCATTTATTCTTTTTTTTTTTTTAGCAAGTAGTCTTTATTAAAGTTTTATCAATACATGACAAGAAGGCAAATCAGCCTGTCCCCTCGGGGTACAGACGTAAACTTATAGTATACATCCTTAACAGGACATGATATAAAATAGTGTGGTATTACCAAAGGTATCAATGTACAACATTACCACAATAAACAAATACAGTTGTTTACAAGACATACGTTTGGGGTAACCTGGTTTTGACTCGCGATAAACTAGCGAGGAAGGATCACATTCACCTACTAACATCTCAGGGTGTTTTGAGCTTGATATGGTCAAGGTGGAACTACAAGAATCTAGAGAGGACTAAATTGAATTAGAATATTACTAGGAAGGATCAACAGGAGGCATCTAAGCGAAACAAGGGGACATTAGAGGACTTTAAAGGACATCTAGGGCCCCTAGGGATCCATCTAATTTGGTGGTGTGGTACAAAACCGTATCAGCATTTATTCTTTATTTGCATTGAAGCACGATCAGTGGATAACATGTTCAATGCTCCTGCAGACCCTACCTCCCAGTCCCTGTCCATTCTGAGTTACAGACTTTCCATTACAGGGACAGGAGGAAGTGTCAACAGACTACAAGTGCGATGATGGATAATTGTACTCCATTAAAAACTATGCCAACTATGGTGGCGATGGGACTTGTAGACTCTCCATTCACAGCTCCTGTCATTGGATCTGAGAATAAATGACGTGGCTGTGCGGCTCTGCGCCAAAAATCAAAAGATGATGCCAAAGCACACACGGACAGGGATCTTCTCCAAGTATCACTTTATTTTAATTTGGCATAAAAACAGCTTACGTGTTTGAGCCCAAATTCAAAAGATGCCTAAATGTTGCAGGGAGAAGAACCCTACGACTTTGGTAGATGTTGTGATGGCAGGGGGCTAGGGATGTGACCATGTTCCCAATGTGGGTATCACGTTATTGCAAAGAACCCACACGCACACCTTACAGCATTCTGTGACCATAAAGTAACGATAGTGCTCATAGTGATGTCACGAATGGAGCAGGGGCAGAACTTCCAAGTAACAGCTGAAATCACCAGCACACACAAAATGCAGCTTAAATCTTCTTCATGGTTTATTGAAATGTCACATTATGCCATGTATGATAATGTTTCGGCCCTCCGCAGGGACCCTTCTTCAGAGCAGCACAGTGACGATTGTGTCAGTGACTGCTCACCAGTGACGTGCCGTGCCTTCTGTGCTGGGTGAGGGATTCCCCAGCCCCGTCCCACCGAAGCTTTGCCCCCGTCCTGTCGAAGCCCCTTCCCGTCGTCCCACCGAAGCTCTGCCCCCAGCTCAGTAACCAAGCTAGGTGGGGAGGAGGAAGGGAGGAGGCAGGGAGGAACCTCCCTGTCTCTCACTTGCTTGTCACTGGTGAGTCACTGGTGAGGCATTGAGATCGATTTCCTCACTGTTTTGTTTTTTTGCTTTTTTTTCAATTGGGCAGGTTGGACCAATGGTGCTTTGCCATTGGTCCAAACCATCCACAGAGCTCACAGCTCTAACACAGAGTAGAGGCTGTGACATCTCTTGCC